CTGCTGTTAACAAGAGTAATGTAAGTGATTTAAGATTAAGAAACTAAATTGTATACTTATGGAAATGACTATCTTATTTATTGATTTATGTCTAATATAATATTTATTCTTATTATAATTAAATTAATTTTGGTTCAAGGAATCTAAATGAAAGCCTAGTTCTCTTAGCCACAAATGTACTTTACATAAGCCTTACAATGCCTATAACAGCCTCTGACAACTAAGTAGCATTAAGAGACTTGGACATCTATAACAGTAATGTTAAACTCAGAGAAAAAAAATCTGGACTGGATGAGAAAGAATTCATAAGTTGTAAGGTTTAGCCAAGGAGAGAGAGGGCAAGGAAACAAATATTTATGAGGCACCTCTTAAAATACTAAGCATTGTGCTATCTGTTTAACACATTATTTCATTTAATCATTAGAACAACTTCGTGAATTAAGTATATTATTTTCAATTTAAAGATGAGGCCCATTAAAACAGCAATGAGATACTGCTATACACCTATTAAAGTGGCCCAAATCCAGAACACTGACAACACCAAATGCTGACAAAAATGTGGAACAACAGAAAATCTCATTTATTGCCAGTGGGAGTATAAAATGGGACAGCCACACCAGAGGTAGTTTAGCAGTTTTGTACAAATCTAAACACACTCTAACCATATGATCTAGCAATCGTGCTCCCAAAATGAATTGAAAACTTATATCCACACAAAAACTTGCACACACAGGTACTTATAAGAGCTTTCGTCATACGATCCAAAACTTGAAATCAACAAGATGTCCTTCTGTAGGTGAATGGATAAAAAAACTGTAATATATCCAGACAATGAAATTGTATTCAGCACTAAATAGTAATGAGCTACCAAGCCATGAAAAGGCATTGGGTGGGGGGACTTTGCGTATTACCAAGTGAAAAACGCCAATTTCAAAAGGCTACATGCTGTATGATTCTAATTATATGACATTCTGAAAAAGGCAAAACTGTGAAGACAATAAAAAGATCAGAGGTTGCCAGGGGCTTCAGGGAGGGAGCAATGAATAGGTGCAGCAAAGAGGATTTTTATGACAGTGAAAACGGTATGATTCAATAATGATGAATACATGTCATTATACATCTGTCCAGACTCATAGAATATACAATGCCAAGATAACTCTTGGTGAACTCTCTTATAAATGATGGACTCTGGGTGATTAAGATGTGTCCATGCAGGCACATCGATTATAACAAATGCATTACTCTGGTGAAGGATGTCAGATAAAGGGGTAACTACAGGTGTGGGACCAGTGATTATATGGAAAATCTCTGTAGCTTCCTCTCAGTTTTGTTGTAAACCTAAAACTGCTCTAAAAAATAAAGTCTATTTTTCAGAAAGCTTTCCAACAAACAGCACCATCCTCTTTTCAAAAAAATGAGATTCCAAATCAGAAACCTTAAATACCTCACTGTAGTTATTATCAAACACCTTTCTTCTTGCCAGGATTAGCAAGGTATTTAGATTCCCCTTAAGTGTATGACTGGTTTAGAATGTCCATTTTGAATTTTCTGAATTTTCAAGTTTTTTTAATCTTACAGAGGATTCAAGTGAATGATTATTGCCATAGACGTGCACAGAAAGGCAAAATTGCTATCTTAAAAATAAGTAAGGATCATGGAATGAGGCCCTAACTTGGAATAAAAAAAAGGAAAGAGGCTTCTTTAAGGGGACAGCAGCAGTCAGGATTAGAACAGACAGAAAGTGAGAGAAAGAGTAAGTGCTACAATAGACCTACACATGCTAGGAACGACTTGGAAGCAGTTGTCTGACAACTTTCAGTTGCTTCTTGTCTAGAGCATTAATTCTTCCCTTGTTATGCCAGAATCATCAGGAAAAGACCATTTTATTGGATGATAGTGCTTTGCTTAGGGTAATGAGCATGTGAAGGTGAGGGAGGCCATAATGGCTTAAAAGTGGGATGAGGGGTTGGCAGGTAGCACATAGCTGAAGTGGTGCAGGAGCTGGTAGCAGTCAAAGCAAAACTGATGAAAGTGAGGTAGCTTAGAGAGTGTACCGTGACTTAGAGGGGAAGCGACAACACACAAACAGGAGGATACATGACTTTGTCTGCATCTGGGTCTCTGCTTTGTGCCACCTCCTCAGAGAGGATTCTTTGATTCTTTCTTTGATTAAAAGTTGATCAACACACATCAAATTCATTGCCTAATTTGATTTCCTTATAGCACTTATCACTGTTCATGTGTTTATTATATGTCCTTCTCTGTCGGTGACCAGCACTGACCAAGGGTGGGTTAGGACCCGCACCAGAGAATCTGGACAGCGAGAAGAGACTACTCAGAGGCAGTTCTTCTGGGAACAGTCTGATCAGGACTGGAGCCAAATTTTATTTGGACTCCTTCCAACTTATATACCATTTTCTATACCCTCCAGCAGTGTGATAATCACTTACTGGGGGCGTACAAGTTCCATGCTTTACAAACTATGCATCACAAGACCACCACGAGATCTGCAATTTCCAAGCAAACAATTCGAATTCCATGATGCCTGCCGTGCTTACATTAAGGTCACAGGTGCACAATTTCAATACAAATCGTTCAAAGTGTTTTCCATAATGTTCAATGAATCATTCATATTATACTCTTTGCTCTATACCCTGATACAAAAAACTTTCCTGAGTTAACTCTAGGTTCAATCCAAGTTCACTGACTCCCAATATTTTTAACGATTAATATTATCAACTTAACACTATACTATAATCTATAAGTTTAACTTAATGACTTATAACTGTCAGTTATACTATTATCCGACTACAAAACTTTACTATAATTCATGTTTCATATGTCTAAACTTTAATTTTCATATGATCTACTTATTGGACTTTAATACTATGCTATATCCTATTAAGCTAATACCTTATCGTTAATTCTTTTATAAATCATATAGTAACTATTACACTTGAATAATGTAGCAAAAGGAAACAAAACAGCAAGCATAGATTTACGCAGCTATGAGTGTATATGTATATATTTTATCCTAACAAGTCTACTCTAAAAATCAAATAGTAGCTGTCACACTCTTGAACAAGGAAATGCAGGGTTGCCAAGATGGCGGCCATGGGCTGAAGCAGACAGAGTTTCGGTAATTAACTAAACAAAAGAAAACGTTCTGCCTGGCTAGGGGCAGGGCGACAAAACTATCATGGTAATTTAGTTTCTAATCTTAGCCCTAGGGGAAACAGCTTTCCAAAGCTGACTACCCAGTCTACCAGGAAATAGAAGTTAAAAATTATCTAGAAAGAAGTAAAACTTAGAGAGAAATAATTCTGCTATGCACTTTCCATCAGGTGTATTGAGATTTACTTATAAGTTTTACTGCCATGTATGCACACTGGTCACTAATCACACACCAATATTATAGGTATAACTGATATCCTATGTCAGAGGCGATCTTCCAGATGGGCCTTTACGGGCCTCAGCCATGTAGCTATAGATGTTGGCTCCCAACACTTCTCAACCCATTAGAACAGTGATTCTCAACATGGGGTAATTTCCCCCCCAAGAGATACTTGGCAATATCTGGAGGCAGTCTGGACTGTCAAAACTGGGATGTTCTACTGGGATCTAGCTGGTAGAGGTCACACTGCTTATCATCCCAGGGTGCACTGGACAGTCCCCACCAGAAGGAATTATCTAGCACCATATGTCAAATTAATGCCAAGGTTGAGAAACACTGCATTAGAAGGAAAATTCTTAGAGAAAAGGGACTTTGTCTTATGTCTAATGTATCCCCAGCACTTATAACCAGTTTCTACTGACGCGCGTGTTTTCCCAGCTGTATGTCTGTCTCTCCAGTTTGGATTGGAGTAATTATATAAAATATGTGAAAAGACTCCTCTCCTGTGCATCCATACCAGAAGGCCTCCCACCCCATCATTTCTTCCTAAAAATTCCTTCCAGTTAATTTATACAGACTTGATCTGGGATTGGGACAATTAGAAATGTTTCAATAAATAGCCCACCTGTTTGAATTAGGGACTTGCAAAGAGAGTTCTGTCCACTCTTATTCTCAAATGATTGTAGCAAAAGGACTCAATGGCAGGCGTATTGACAACTGATCAGACAGGTGCCTGAAGTCTGGGTAAGGAGCACTAATGAGCTGCAAACGCATCAACCTCCAAAGCCCTCTGATCACTGAGCTTCCAGCCATAGGCCAAGGTCGTATTTCTTCATTGACACCAGACCACTCTTCTAAGAACATTCTCTATTTTGGGCCAGCAGACATTTTTTTTTTTTTTAAACTGATGTTAGCGGCAATCTAGCACAATTCAGCATCATCATGCCTCTTCAACTTCAACAAAAACTGCAATTAACATTTCAGAATTTTAAAGAAATGTGTCTAAAAATAGAACCTGGAAGGAAGTAAGAATCCAACAATAGAACATAGTCATTTTCAAAACTATCCACAGATGTTCTCCCATTTATAAGATCAATATTATATAGCAGGGAGTGATGGCTCACATCTGTAATCCTTGCACTTTGGGAGATTGAGGTGAGAGAATTGACTGAGTCCAGGAGTTCAACACCAGCCTAGGCAACATGGCAAGACCTCGTCTCTACAATAAATAAAAAAATTAGTTGGGCGTAGTGGTGCACACCTGTAGTCCCAGCTACTTGGGAGGCTGAGGCAGAAAGATTGCCTGAGCCCAGCGGGTCGAGGCTGCGGTGGCCATAATCATAGAAATGCACTCTAGCCTGGGCAACAGAATGAGACTCCAACTTCAAAAAACAAAACAAAAACCCACAATATTATAATGAAAAAAATAAAACTCTTTGTTTTTGCATTACACGGGAAAATAATGTGGTAGTTTGAATGAAAGACCTGTGAATCAAAGACCAAAAGATTTGTTTATGGTGGCTGAGAAACTGTCCAAGATATGACTAATCCACTTAATAATCAATTAGCCAAGGCTAGGACATCATCCAATGCCCCTCTGGGTTACCTGGTTTTCTTGTTGGTCCCACTGACATATCTGCAGAACCTGACTCAATTCTTGCCACTGTTGCCTCAGGTACTTGTCTAGTTGCCTTCTCCTGTCTTGTAGAAGTTCAAGAAGGCTGTCAATCTTCAGACAGCTGTGATGAGCTCCCTGAATCAACTCAGGATTCACATTAGGTCCATCACGCTTGAATTTTTCAATGAAGTCAGTGAGTTGTTGACTTTTGTTTAATAGGGCTAGAGATCTTTCTAAGAGTTCTAGAAGAAAAGCAAAAAGCAAAAAGAATAATTATATGAGCAGGCTTGCATATAGTAATATTTGGGTTCTTGATAATCACTTAAAACATATGTCACTTTTATGTTAAATAGCAAGCTGTACAAAAGGAATTTAAATATGTAAAAATAAATTGCCCATGATGTGTGAAAGAAACAACTGGTGAAACATCTTGGTGTAACAATTGCTACAGCACAAACTGCCAAATGATATGATGCTACAGTTCAGCAATAGTGTGATTCAATATAAAAAGTAGAAAGATTGTGGGGTTTTGACACTGCCTCAGTCAGTTTTTAGTGGTGTGATGCTGGTTAAATGTTTTATATTATGAGGTGATTTTTTAAATGTTTTATATTATGAGGTGATTTTTTAAAGTGTATTTTTATTTATTTTAAAGATGTGGGCCGGGCTCGGTGGCTCAGGCTGTAATCCCGCGCCTTTGGGAGGCTGAGGTGAGTGGATTGCCTGAGCCCGCGGGTTCGAGACCTCCTCACTACAATAAATAAAAAA